TGGAGGCAGAAGGACTTCCCCTGAACTTCATCATCCTGACAGCTGCGGCCCCACTGGCACCAGCTTGTCTCGTGCTCCGTCCCGCTCCACGCACGCTCATTCCTGCCAGAACACAGCTAGACCACTGTGGAATAAAATACCTGGGCAGGTTTGTTCCTCTTGGAGAGGGGGTACCCAGGCTGGATGAGGCTTTGGGCAACCTGGGCTGGTGGGAGGTGTCCCTGCCCATGGCAGGGGGCTTGGAACTGGATGATCTTTAAGGTCCTTTCCAACCCAAACCATTCTGGGATTCTATGATACTTACATCAGCAGCTTCCAGTGCCTCCCTGATGTTCAGATCAGAGCACCTAATTCCAGATGCTTCGGATCCTTATACAGCCAATGAAGCACTTTAAGGAACAATTTACACAATCTGAGTTACATGCCTAATGAAGATACTTTCTAGTTTCCAATGGATTTCAACAAATTGGATGATAGTATAGAAGGACATAAACATGGAGGAAATAAAATAATATAAGGAATGGGGGAAAATTAGTAGAACAACTATACTGATATCAGAGTGCTATGGTTTTTTGTAGTGTTCATAGCATTAGTACCTAGATCTTATATATGCTTATGAATTAAATTTCACAGCATTCCTAAGAAGTATTGTTTCCTTGATGGAATGGAAATTGGAGTATAGTGAGGTTGATTTTATGTGTGAAACATGAGAAAGAGGTCCATGAGCAGAGCATGGACCTCTTGAGTCTTGGTCCAGACTGGTTAACATAAGATTACAGGGCAGATGATAACACAAGAAAGAGGAAAAGAAATGCTTTTTCTGTTACCACCCTTTCATTAGTCGTTTTTTTTTCTTCTTAAAGAGGTGCTACCTGATCACAAAATAAGCTGTGTTTACAAAAGGAACATGGCAACTCCCTACATGACTCCAGCGATATAAAAACACCTCCATGTGTGGGAAATATGCTGCAATGTTAGTGATTTCTTGTACTGCTATAGGAGCTCATGACTGGCCATTCACCTGAGGTGTGGAAAGCTGCAGATCATTTCCTTACCATGAATAAACCAGAACAGTGATTTGGGTTTTCATGTCTGATTTGGAGTACCTGAACCAGGGAGCTCCCCTCTTCTTTTGCAAGCGTTGTGGTGACTAGTGCTGGCCAGAGGAAAGACCTGGAGTTGCTTTGGTAGTTATCTCTGTTGTTATGATGCACACTGCATCCTGGAGCCAGGCACCAGCCCTGAGCTGCGAATGCAGTCATTCAGGCACTCCTGTTAATGATTCTTCCTGCTCAGGCATCCAAAAAGGTGTTTTAATAGATGTACCTTCCTCTCCCTGCTAGTTGGATCAGTCCGTGGTCTCTGCTTGCTGCCAGGCTTTGGGTTGTGAAAAACGTTATTACATGGTTAATGGTGGAGATGCAGTTGGGAGGCACTCTTTGTCAGGGGGTGTAGTGATAGGATGAGGGGTAATGGTTTTAAGCTGAAAGCTGGTAGATTTGGATATCAGGAAGAAATTTTTCACTGTGAGGGGGGTGAGGCAGTGGCCCAGGTTGCCCAGGGAAGCTGTGGATGCCCCATCCCTGGAAATATTCAAGGCCTTTGGATTGGATGAGGCTTTGGGCAAGCTGGGATAGTGGGAGGTGTCGCTGCCCATGGCAGGGGAGGTGAAACGAGGTGATCTCTGAGGTCCCTTCCAACCCAAACCATTCTGGGATGATTGTGTGCAACTGGATACGGCAAACCCCAAAAGGCAGGTTTAGCTATTGTGATGCATTACTGAAGCATCTAGAGCATATCCCGACACACCAAATCGTGCATGTCACTGATGGTGCCTCCTCCCACGGGTGTCTCTGTGCTGACTGGACCATGACACTGGAATTCTGTGTGCTGCAGGAACGGCCCCATGGCTCGGTAATACTGAGCAAAGCACTCTTCCAGTGTGAAAGGACAAGACAGGATCTCCCAGACCCTAATAACTCTGAAAACATCAAGCAGTGTGGAGTTAATGCTTCTCAGGGCCTTGCCATGGGAATTTTCTGGCTGGGGCCCAGATTACAGATAATTAATTATGTCAGTGAAAGGCTCTGGTGGCCTGTTTTCTTCAGAAAAAAGTGACATAATCCATGGAGCTCTCTGGCAATAAAGCAGAACAAAGCTGTGTGGGCAGGAAATAACAGACAGATGTCTTCTAGTGCTCATTGGATCTGTTTCGAAGCTTGCTGTAAGAGGTAATGCATTGCTCAGTGCTGCTTCTCCTCAGCTCTGCAACCTTTAGCGTGGACTTTGTTCAACATAAGATGCCAAATTAATCTCTGATGTAATTCTTCTGGAGCCGCTTCAGAGGGTTTGTGCGGTGGGTGATCTGGTCTGTCCTGTGCCTCTCCTCCAGCATTGATTTCAGAGTGACTTTCTGTGTTATCACTGTAAAGCAACGCACAACAAAGGGAAATATCCTGCATAGCTCCAGAGGCTTCATAGGAGGTCATAAAGTTCTGCAAGGTGTGAAGAAGGCAGGACGATTCTGTTTGATATCCCCAGAGTCATGTGGGGTCACTTGCATTTCCGGATATATTTCACTGAACTTTTGTACAAAACCACCGATGGTGACTTTTGATCACTAAAGTAATCCCTTTACCTCCAAAGAAAATCACATACACAGACCCAAGTTCAGAAATGTTAAAAGAAATTCATGCAAGTGAACTCCACAGTTTCAAGTATTAGGAAATTAAGCTAAGATGAAAGGCAAGAAAAAACTTTGCTGTACGTAGAGTCTTTCTTGAAAGAAAAACTACGCATACATCTCGATAGCCAGCATTTTGCATGGCTAGAATCACTCAGTGGGTGATATAAACAAGGGTACTTCAGATATCTGGGAGAAAAATATTTTTTGAGTTTTCAGCAAAAAGGAGCTTTGTCTGATGCAATATGCAGTAGAGCATCTCACTTCCCCAGTTCGAAGCGTGCTTTGCACACTGAGTATGTCTGACCTGGAAGACAAAGTGGTACCCAGCCCTCGTAGCAGTGTGTAGGGACAGCCTGAGGAGCCAGGCCTTCAGCAAAAGTGGCATTCCCCTAGGCAGGGCTGATTTGTATTAGTTTCTCTACTCATATTCATAGTACCATGACATAAAATGAAGAGAGTGCACTTTCCTTGTAATGATTTGAATTTCTTCCTAAGGTGAGAAAAGAAGGCAAGTTATGGGGTTAAACATGGGTTAGTGGATTAGTTTGCAGAAAGTTTTGCAGATACAGTTTTTCAAGTACACCTGCCTGAAGATGCTTTCTTCGTTAAAGCAACCTGAACGAACATGCAGGATGCACTCTCAGAGGTCTCTAACAGGAATTTTCAGAGACAAGACTGCTCCTGCCCTGGCAGCGGCACAGCATGAGCTTGTCCTGGATAGAGCCGAAAGCAGCGGCAGAACTTCCTCCCATCTCCCTCAGAAGGATGCCTGGAGCGTGGTGTTTGGTAGGTCTGGGTGAAAGGTTTGTAAAGTCTACTGGAACTGACGAAATCAGCCACTGGTAAGATCACAACATTACATGGAGAACCTGTGACCTTATCCAGTTTCTGATGCAGTACAGAGCAGCTGCTGCTCTATAAATAACCTGAACTGGGTGAAATGCAAGTAACACCACCACAAGCAGAAGTAAAGGTTCCTCCCCGTGGATTGATAGTTATTTCTTGCCATTAATCGCTGGCAAGAAAAGTATTAAACCTCTTGGTGCTTTAATTTGTGTGGGCATAACAAAGTGTCACGATAACTAGAAAAGAATAGTCAAAAGCTGGAAATATCGGATCTTAAAATACTGCGGAGGTCCATTCCCTGTAAATACTACTCCTGCTCCCAAATTTTCAAAACTTCTTTCAGTTACTTGAGAGGATTGTCATCATGTTATTGAAGTATTTAGATGGCTCTGAAATAGTTAGATGTATTTTAGATGGCTCCAAACATGGAGCTATGAAGGAAATAGTTACTGGTAACTGATTTAGAGAGGGGTATTTTGTGAATTTGCAGGAAGGCTACTTACAAACAAAATTCAGGAGAAGAGTTTAGGAGATGTACTGGCAAAAGATCTTGAACTGGATTTTTACTCTCATCTGACAGTGATTACTTTGACTCCATTCAGCCCATCTTGAATACGACTGAATTTTTTTTCCCAATTTACTAGATGCCTTACATGAAATGAGTTTGATCAGCTCAGTCTCATTTCCCAGGTGACAAATGGGCTGTGGCAAAAAATCCCCGTTCAGTGGGTGCTGAGTTTTGTTAGCTGTCTCATGGGAGAGGCCAAAGACTGTGGGAATGGGGAGAGAGGGCTGTAGGAAATTGGCAGGGCAGGGCACGAGGAGGAAGCACGTCCCAACACCAGGCTTGTGTAACAGTCTGTCCATTGACCAGGAATTTGGTTGCTAGGCTGCCAGTCCCTTTTTACAAGCAGCAGAGTCATGCTATTGTTTCCTAAATGGTTTCAATTTTATGCAAGGACCTCTTTACATCCTTTCTATATCATTTAAATATTTTACTAGGCACGTAGTAAAGCGAGGGTTGGAACTGAGACCCCTGCTCTGCTCAAGCAGGCAAGCGAAAGAAAGCCCTTCTCTTTTTTTCTGCCCAAAGGGAGTATTTCAGGGTAACCTTGCAGAGCGGCCTCACGTCAGCCTTCCAGCTGGGGGGCGAGCATTTACTCCTGAGGGCAGGGGAGCCTTGTCTTCAGAAATTTGCATTTCCCAGGTAGAAGCACAGACACCACATCTTAAGTGAGTGCGCTAATCACTGGGCAGTAGAGAGGAAGGAAAGGAGGGCAGGCAAAGCTGTGCAGGACAGCAGTGGTCGATGCACTTCAGCCCCTCCATGGACATACTCAGCATCTGAGCTCATCAGCCTTTAGAATGTGGCACCTCCAGGAAGGATAAACCAAGATTAGACACAGTCCTTTTGAAGGAGTTAACGGAGCACTGTGTCCAGTTCTGGTCCTCACAATTCAAGAAAGACATGGACAAGCTGGAGATGGCCCAAAGGAGGACTGTGAAGATGACCAAAGGGCTGGAGAACCTGCCCTATGAGGAAATACTGAAGGAATTAGGTCTTTTCTCCCTGGAGAAGAGAAGGCTCGAGAGGGACCTCATCACAGTATTCCAGTACCAAAAGGGCAGCTACAAAGAAGATGGAGGCTCTCTCTTCACGAGGAGCCACACAGCAAAGACAGGGGGCAATGGGTACAAGCTGCACTGGGAGAGGTTTCATCTCGACATAAGAAAGAAATTTTTTACAGTGAGAACAATCAAGCACTGGAACAACCTCCTCATGGATGTGGTAGAGTCCTCATCACTGGAAGTTTTCAAGATGTGGTTGGATATAGTGGTAGATGATCTCATCTAGGCTTTGTTTCCCAGGAAAGATTGGACCAGAGGATCTTTTAAGGTCTTTTCCAACCTGGGCTGTGCTATGGTTCTATGATTTGGATGGACAGGGAGTCCCTAGGCAAGATTTGCTCCTGGAGAAAATGAGTGTGGAAAAATACCTCTCAACATATCTGACCTTCTGTGTTTCTCACCTTGAGAGTACTTCTGAGACGTAAAAGTGTCCTCTTCATTAATCTGTCTTCATTGCTCCTACTGTTTAGAGAATCAGGTGCTTGGGGGCACTTTATTAACAGAAAAGTCTGTTTCTTTTGAAGAACCCACAATCTGAACAGCATAGATAGAAAGTTATCTTGGAGCTTTCTGTAGGACAATTGATGGAGTGAAAAAACCAATAAAAGTAAATGTATGTATCTTCTAAATTCTGTATCTTGTCTTCAAAGAGCTTCTGACTAATTGCAGTCTTCTGGACTTGCACAACTAAGTTTCACTGTGTTACAAGCTGTTGCAATATGTGGTCTTCTCATGCCTGAGTATTCTCTCTCATCAGACTGTCAACAAAACAAAACAAACAAGGACTTGAGAGATGGCTCTCCTGTGTCAAACACCATGTTTCTTCTACCAAAACAGCTAACAACTTTCTGGGATGCATGAAATTTCAAATTTGACTTGAATTTGAAATCTCTTCCTTGTGTTGTCTCCTGGCTTGTGATTTACACTAAACAGCATTGTGCTTTGGGACAAGGTACCATCTACCATAGATGTCCATCAGTAGAAACATCTTGCCAGTATGGTTCCCTCTTCTTAGCAAAGACCCCTCTCTTTGACCCTCTCATACCTCTTTCCAGGTACATGTGTTGAAATAGCACGTGCTCCTCCACAGGATTATTCTGACTTATTATCTGGAAATGGTCTGTATCCTGCAGTTCAATACAGCCAGAGGTGTTCACTATACATCGGAAGAAAACATCTCCATCAGAGCTCTCTTCTCGTTGTTTCAGTGGAAAATTAGTCATCTGGAGGAAACACGAAATCATGAGTTACACAGGGCTGCTGTTTCAGCTCCCTCCCTCTGCGTTTATCCTAAGGATTTTCAGGGAGGCTAACTGGAGTTGGCAAACCCCAAGGCTGGTTAGGATGTCACCCAGACCCCTACCACTCAGACCTAGTCTAGCTGTACTTGAAAATCTTCCTATGCGGGGGCTTGTTGCTGACCAAATAAAAGCAAATTTCTCTCCAGTTTATTATTAGCACAAGGCCCCTTTTTTAGTCCAACGCTTCCTAGCAACCTGAGTGTCTGTTTGTTAGTTTGCTTTTCACAAACTTATCACAGTCCATGGAAACAGAGTACTTGGTGAATTAGCCGATACCCTTGCAAAGATAACAGCAGCAGCAGTGGCCAAGCCCAGAAAAGGCAGCAGGCACCTTGCCAGGCTAATGAGATCCAGATCCCAATTGCCTGTAGAGCCTGGGGTGCCCAAGGAGGAAGATGGGAGTGGGGAGTGCCTGTGCCCTTGGGACGGTGCCACGCAGCCCTCTCCTGGGCTGGGTACCCTCCCCTGGGGCTGCAGCGAGTGGTTCTCTGGGCTGACAGCCCTGCCCTGCCCACTGGAGCCAAGTATGTCACCGCTTCCTTTTAAAGACAAAACAATTCATAAGGCTTTCCTCCAAAGCTCTGAAATGAGCTTGAGCAGCTCCTCCTTTCCTGCTTGGGGTGCCCTTTAGCATCACCCGCTCCCCCAGCTCCGCTCCCTCTGTCTCCTGGGAGACCCAAACCCGCAGCTTCCAGAAACCTTTCTTAGCTGGCAAGTTATCAGCTGTTTCAGGGACTCTCACGTCTCAAAATGGTGATATTTATAAATACCCCCACACTCCTGTGCTATTTTACTAGACTTTTTCAGGACTTTTTCTTGAGTGTAGAAGCATTGGCCTCACAGTAGTGAAGACACTAAGATAGCTGTTATTTCTACAGGGATATAAAAAATTATATATTCTTGAACCTGTCTAAAACTTTCCTAAAATAACATTTTTTCCTGTACTGAGCATGGCGTATTCCCAGGATGTGATGTAGTGAGGTGTCCAGGCTCTCTTGGCACTCTTTGTGACTAACCCACGTAATTAATTTGTCGTTTTGACATCCACGAGTGACGCACCTTTCCCACGCTCATGCCGAAAAACCATTAATACCATTCCAGTCTGTATTTGTATTTTGCAGACATGCACAAAGCTTTTACTTAAGGTTAAAAACATTGTACAGAGTAAGCCCTTACAGCTAGCTGTTTATAAGAGGGCTGGTTGTCACTTGGGTGGCATCATCTTTGCCTCAAGCTCATTTTTCAGTTTATTTTCATGTTACTCTATTTATTAAAAAAAAAAAAAATTAAAAGGTCTTTGCCATTTTCTGAGATTATTTCCTTGCTCACTTTGAAAGCAGGTGGTTTTGTAGAGCTGCGATGCCTCTGTGGTACGGGGTGAAGATTTCAGAATTGCTACAGAGGTACTACGGAGTGCCATTATAAACACTGTGTGTGTAAAGCATGAAGTGTTGGTCAGTTCATAAATCCTAAACAGTCACTGCTAACATAGTGGAGGGATTTGTATGAGATTTTTCCTAAAATATCTGAACCTTTCCTTAGCCCTTAATTTGCTTCCCATGGGTTTGCTTCACATGGTCTGAGTGTCAGAAGGGCAGGCAAGAGAAGAATTGGTGCCTGCACCCTTCTGCCCTTTGAGCTTGTGGGAGAGATGGGAAAACCTGGGAGCTCCCTCGTGCCCATCGAAAACTTGTACCTTTTACCTTCCCCCTGGATCACGGCCTTACAAACCTGCCTTGAAGGGCAAACACGTCCCCCGCCCCCATTTTACAGATGGCTGAGCAGATGTTGGCGAGTATGATTAGAATCAGAGCTTGGGATTACGTGTTTGTCTGCAGCCCAGCCCTCAAGTGCCCCTTAGAGCCAGGTGCCTTGCGGAGCTGTCTCATTGTGCCCAGGCGCCTGCTCATGCTGCCCGAGACTGGGGGCAGGAGCTGGGACCCGTGCTCCCCTTGGCCACAGTTAGTCCCACAGTCAGGTAGGGAATGATGAGGAAATACTTGATTTGAGGCTCTCTGGGAAATACAAATTCAGCCCGCTTGTGCTGTGTGCTATACTCATCTCTTCACCCCACCAGGGAACAGGACAGGCGGTGAATGAGATGAAGGTATGAAGAGTGATGATGTTCCCTGCTGATAGCTGCAACCCAGATAAAAATTCACAGCATTCAAACGTAATGACAGGCAGGAATAGAATCATTAATGCCTACAAGAACTGCATTTGGATTGTGTATATCACGTTTACTCTGCTATCTACCAAAGTTTTTATACTTGCATTGGCAGCCCGGCATTCTTCTAATTTATTTAATTTTTGTGTATGCAGCCCGTACACATGAAATGCCCATATTTTCCCTGTTTTCCCTGTTGGTTAATAGGTTGGCTTACTGGTACTGGTTTGCAATGTTACAGGCAAGGGAGGATGTGATCCACATGCTGAAGACAGAGAAAACCAAACCTGAAGTTTTAGAAGCTCATTATGGGTCTGCAGCTCCACAAAACGTTCTCCGAGTGCTGCACAGGGATGCCATCCTTGCCCAAGAGAAGTCTCTAGGGGAAGACGTCTATGAGAAACCAATTTCAGAGGTAATAATTTCTCGATTTACATCATCGCATCTGTGCAGGGGGATCATAATTAGAAGTAAGACTCTGCACACTTTGCATGTGTGCAAAGCATGCAAGAGGATAGTGCAGTGCTTGTACAAATGGCAGGAAATTGAAGAAAAATGGAATGTTCTTGTTCACCCAGCCACAGAATAAATTGGAAGCAAAATCAATGGGTTTGAACATGAACAATAAAGAGCTTGTATGCTTCTTAAGGCTAGTGCTTTTAAGCAAGAACAAAATGTTTGGGTGTCACATGTCTGTTCTTTAAACTCCTTTCAGTTCCAGGCTCCAGCCTCTGCTGCTCACAGCGCTGGTAAGCACTCTCTGATTTTCTTGGCATCCTAGAGCGCTATCATGTGGGTAGTTAGGAAAAGAAGACCTTCAGAGATTGACTTTGACCATATTGATGGAATCATAAATCCATAATCTTTTTACGTCACTTAAGCTCCAGGACTGCAAAGTCAGTTCAGCCCCAAAAGGACACCCCTAGGACTTGATCTCTTGCTTCAAAACCTGAGCATTGAACGAATGTAGAATAGACCTGGGAATATCTGAGGCCAGCGTGAATGCCCAAATAAGCAGCGACTGCTTATGTTTATAGCTTCATAACAGTCCAGGGCATGGAGAAAGAGCATGCAACAATGTGCAGTATAATGTACTGCAGTGCCTGCCCAAATATTCATTGTTCCTCCTACTAGAACTGTTAATTTTTCACCAGGAATTGTGCCTACCACAGCATATGTTTATACTGTGTATTTGTGTTGAGGCATCTTCTGGAATTTTTGGGATGATGGTAAATAAGGAAAGCAAACCTTAGCTTTCAGCAGCATGCATGAAATAGTGTCAAACAAGATTAAAAGAGCCTAGTGGGGCTGTTGCCCAAAGAAGGTGGCAATTTGACAGGGAGCTCAGCGTAAAACTTTTGTCATGTGGAGGTCCACAGGAGTTACGTTGGAGCTAAAATAGGAGGGTGAAAATATTTCATAAGTGCAAAAGAAGTTTTACTTTGACTGCCACAGTCAGCTTTGGGAGAGCAGATCACCTTGCTCCTCCTGCTCTATTTCCCCCCGTTTCCTGGGGCACCCCAGTGCAGCTGGGGCTGCGGTAGGTGCGATTCCCGAGGGGCAGGGGCTGGGGGTGGGCAAAGCGGGCTCTGCCATGCCAGGGGCACGCAAGCAGAGAGGCGCCAGGGCTGTGGGCTGCTTCCCTGGGGAGGAGGACGGAGCCTGTCATCTGCTGCCAAGGAACAGCGAAAGGAGCAGTGTGAGTAGCCGTGGTGGCTTCGGTGTGCCTTGGCGACTTCTTAGACATGCCTCCCTGGCCTTAGTGTTTCTTTCAATAATAATTAGCATCTTTAGTTAATTAAAAAAAAAAAAAAAAGAAGACAAAAAAGATAAAGTGTTGCTAATAAAGAAAGAGAGAAATTTCTGTCAAAACACAGGCTGAGGGGAAAACCCGGAGGCTTGTAATGAATTGTATTTGGCAACATAAAACTGAATCTATGCTGAATCAAAATAGTCGAGACTTTTTATCTCAGCAGTCCTACAGGTGTGTTGAAGATGCATATTTGTCACTCTAAAACTAAGCCAAATGCTGTCCTTTGTGTACCTGAGAACTATGGAAAGGTTTACTGCAAGCACGTTGTCCCGAGGAATCATTACATTTACAGGACAGTTACTTTTATTTCGAGTCACTGCTTCATGTAAAGCCCAAGACATAAAACTGTGGGACTCGCATTTACCAAACACAACACTGTTGTATAATAAACCAGATGAAGTAAGCAAGGAGACCTTTAAAGCAGTCTGTTCCCCTTTCCTTCAATCCAGCTGGACAGACTTGAAGAGAAGCAGAGAGAGACGTACCGGCGCATGCTGGAGCAGCTCCTGTTGGCAGAGAAGTGCCATCGCCGCACCGTTTATGAGCTGGAAAATGAGAAACATAAGCATACAGATTACATGAACAAGAGTGACGACTTTACCAACCTCTTGGAACAGGAGCGGGAGAGGTGAGTGCCGGAGATGGTGCATTCGCCGCTGTCCCAGTGCTTGGTGTCTCAGCAGTGCCATGGTCTGGGTCTGTTCTGTGTCTGAATGACACCGAACTCATGTGTAAACCATTTGTAAATGTCAGTGCACTCACGTTATTAGTAAGTGCATTACTGTGCAGGTCTAGAGCTGGAGGAAGACCATTGAATGCTCCTGTAGTGTGTATGTGTATGAAGAAGCGGATTTGTTTGGAATTACCCATGCCTGTGTTGGGTTCACCTCCTGGCAGCTTTTGATCAGATGTTAGTTATGTTTGCTGGGTTTGGGGCTGGTGTGCCCAGCTGAGAGCTGCACGCTGTGACGGACGGGGCACTGTTTGTCCCTGCAGGAGGACAGGGCAAGGAAACCATCACCCGTTAGGATCCTGGCACACAAGCCATAGGGACTTGGCCATGCCCTTTGCATTCAGGCTCGCAAAGTCACAAACCATCCACATTTTCCATATTTTTGAAGATGGGTGCTTCAGGCAAGATCTGTGTTCCCCTGGAAGAAAATACATTCATGTTTTATAAAACGTGCCCGGCTTGTGATGGACTGTCTGCAGAGTTTATCTCACAGGCTCAGATGCTCCAGGTTTTTTTTTTTTCTCCAAGTGTTTGTCCTCCTCGTGGGAGTAATTTGTTCTCTGAGATTCTAAGAAAAGAAAGAGCACCTACTTTAGGTGAGGAACGAGCACCGGGTAACAGCCTCAGTTTTCCAGTATGAAATTTTCATGCTCATACCAAATGGCTTGAAACCAATCCGCACAGTTTTTTTTAAAAAACAGTCTCTGAGAAAAAAAATACTTAAGGCAAGTTCAAAGGAGAAATGCTTTTGAGGAAACCACAGTCTGGTGGCAGACATTTGCAAAAAGCCAGGAGCTAAATTGTTTTGTGCATTTCCTGAGCTCGGTTCAGCGCCAGCTTTGAGTAGGTGGCACATGAGCTAGTGACCACATTTCCTGCTTTCATAGCTGCTGGCTTGCTGTCTCTCTGTTTTCCTGGGTTGATTGGCAAACTTTAAAGGACAAAAATGCTTCTGCATCTTAGCAGTTTGATTCTCTTAGCTGAAAAAAAAAAAAGGTTATATTTCCGAGTAAGGAGCAATTTCACATCTGATTCTCATAGATGCCGTTTTTTCTCTATGCTAAATATCCGTGTGTGTGGACATGCCGGCAACTCAAATGCCACAAGAGTAAAAGTGGTTTTAAAATACCATTTACATTTGTGTTTTAATTTTATATTTACTTTAATTTGACAATTGTTGACTTCTTATTATTCCAGCTCAACTCATGAAGGCCACTAAATAGCCCAAGATAATGACCTGTTTTGACCTGACTCCTCCAATTAATAGTTTAACAAGCTTTCTGGCTCACATTCCTACTGCGGAGATATCGAGTCCCATCTCTCTGGGCATTCTCTCAAACTCTTCCTGCTCTTTTGTGTCTTTTACGTTTCAGTTTTTCTACAATTTTTGGGAAAAACAGCAATAAGAAAAGGAGAATTTGAACTTCTGTTGAAAGCAGATCTTCAAGAGCAACCACATCTGCTGGCCTTCGTCGCCAGTGCCTCTGTACTGGTGCCTGGGGGGAAGAATTGCGGTGCCAAAGCCCTTTGGATTTATGTTGAGGGACATGAGAAACCTGATGTGTGCTATTTAATCCACTTTGTTTGTCTAAGGCACTAACGAGAAAATTCATTTCCAGTTTAGTAGCAACCAAGGAGAGAGAACATGGCATGTGGCTAAACACGGAAAGCCAAGCATGCGCGTCCCTCCCTCTTCAGGGTCCTCCTCCCAGAGCAATCGCAGAGCAGATTAACAAAACCAGGACGGGCTGGAAACCACTCATTAGTGTATATAGTCTTAAATGAGCTCAAGTCCTCATTGCTGCTTGCTGAGTGCACATGAACTGAGGCTGCACCCACATCTTTGTAGGTGTTGGAAACTGGAAGTGGCATCGTTTGAGAGCTGTGTTCATGGAGAAAGACAGGGTGATGGGATGATTCTCAGGAGAGCCCCACAGTGGCAATCAGCAGGAGATCTTTGTCAAAAAGAAAGAGTTTGTAGTGGAAAGATGAAGTTGCAATAGGTTAAAACATAACAAACCCTCCCATGTTCCCTCACTCTGCATCTCGGGATGGAGGAACGACCTGCCCGAAGGCACTGCTCGGGGTCCTGCCCAGGCATTACTGCTTTATAGGCACCACTATGTATGTAATTTGTTTTACTTTGAGGCCTGAGGGTTATTTTATTAAGAGCTGAACAGACTTGGAGTCTCCATGGGAAAGAAAAGGGACGGGGAGGTGAACTCTGCCCGTCAGGCACTCCGCTCGCTCTCAGCTATGACGTTAACGAGCCAGGGCGAGCCGGAGGAAGAACAGTCGGGTGGGACGGACATCTCACAGCGGTCTGGTACGACGACAGCAGTAATCATTCCTGTCCCACATCTAAGCAATTTAAGTCATTTCTTTCCTCACCATAAGATTTTACCAATCTTCCTGAGCCATTGTTGTCCACACCAGCTTTCAGAGGCCACATATGCTTTTGTCGTCCTGTGAAAGTTTGAACAAGATAAAAAGGGAAATTCTTCAAGAGCAGAAATATGTCTTAGTTTGATGCATTTCTAGCACTCTCTTAATGTATTTACTTTGGAATATATTTTTACATACCCTTTAATGCATTGTCTCTAACCCATCCACAACAACACGGTATGACAGCAAACAGTCCCTACGAGGGCTGGGTATTAGGTGAGCCTTGCACGGGAAGGAAGGAACAGGACAACACAGTTTGTCAAGAAGATTTATGCATGAAAAGTATAGCAAAGAGAAAATTATACCCAGGGATATCCAAACTGCAGACAGTGAGGAGGGGTAAATGGAGGAAGCCGGAGGGCCTGCCCGCTGGTGTTGGCTCTGCCACAGCAAGTGCAGCTGAGCGGTGGGAAGGGGTGGGAAAGGCTGGCACGCTGCAGGAGAAGAGCAGGGACAACTGTTTGCTGGACAGAGATGAAATAAATCTGGTACTTGGAGTGGAAGATGCTTCTACAGGCGTGGTGGCTGAAGTGTTTTGCAGTTTTCCCTGTAGCACCCTATAATCACACCTAAAGATGGGAATGGTTTGAAGGTTAAGGACAGTATCTTTCATTTTTACCATTCAACCAAAATTTCCCTTTACCACGCTTGCCCACCTCAGCCACTGCACCTGTACCACAGGTTGTCCTTGGGCATCTCCTGTCCCTCTGAGCACAAAAGCAGCCGTCTTCCTCCCGAGGAATAAGTAGAGCTTAGAGACCTGTGGTTGCAGATGGGGGGTAAGGAGTTTCTGGTCTGGTGGTGGAGAATGAGGGGTCTGACTGGAGCTGCATGGACGTGGCTTGCAGGGGACACCTGAAGAGCAGGAGACCACGCAGCAAGAGCTGGAACGATAAGGTTGGTCCTCCCAGCACAGGCAACCTCCTGGTCTCCAGCTGCACTTTGGGCAGCGAACTGGTGGTGTGGGCTCGGGCACTGGCTGAGCTGGCTGCAGCTGCAGCAGCTGTTGGCACCTCCCCACCCCAAAAAGCTCTTCTGTAAAGAGGCTTAACACAGCGTGGTGCTTGGTTATTATCTTCTCTGCCTAGTCTCACCCCTCTTGCCTCTTAGGGGACCATAGGAGGAAAAAAAAAAAAAAAAAAGAGAGAAAAATATAAACTCTTAGGATCAAGCATGAACTTTTTTATTTGACCAGCAGGGCTTTTTCCTCTGGTGGAAAGGGGGAGAGCTCTGTGTAACCTCAGCACTGCTTCGACCTCTTGATCGACCCAAGAGATGAGGTTTAAAATCCTGACATTTTTAGAGGTGCTAATCTCTGAACAATTCGTCTTGTACTCTTCTTTTAATCCAGTGGGTTGACAGCACATCTTGCTGCTATTAAAAGCACTGGGGAGCTCCCACTGATTGTAATGGTTCAGAAACCAGCTTGCGGTGAGGACCACCGAGCCGCTCCTGCGGGATGGATGGCAGAAAGAACCCGAAAGCCTTCAAAAATGGGGGGAGGAGGGAGTTTCTGTCATATGCAGGGGACATGGTTTGTCGAACAGAGGGTGTGATGTGGCAGAAAGGCTTTGTTGGAGCTCGTTAAGGGAGATCGGTGCAACTGCCTTGTGAGTAATTGGATAAGTTCCAGCAGCATCCCTGAGCTGGCCGCGACTCTGTTACCCCACCGCACAGCAGGGTAAACACATGCTGAGCACCCAAGGGAAGTGTTGTCTGTACGAAAGCATCGACACTGTGTTCAGTCACGTTTTATTGTAAGGCTTTATGGAAATGATGAGGGTTTTACATCGGCTCTTCCTTTCCTTCTGCAGCTTCAAACGATTCTGTCCCACCCCAGCGCCAGTGCTCCCCGTGCGCTGAAACGTCTCCATTTTCTCCAAAGGCAAAGCCAAGGATTCAGTCTGTGCTTCCCAAGCAGTGCCCTACTGGATCTGGTTTCAGTTAAACCCTCTTTTTGAAGTCCATGGCCATAATTAGATCTGCTTAGAGGAGACAGCAGGGCTGTGACCCCAGATCCTTCCTCCACAAAGTTTTCTTTCAGCCTTCCAGTGACATTGTCTCCTCTCTGCCTCCCCCGTCAGGGCACCCCCAGCAAGGAATGCACTGGCGAGTCCCTGGGCGCTCTGTGATAACACATTCCTCTGGGCTGCGGTCATCCTGGCACCAGGATGCTCTTGGCTGCTCCACTGGTGATGTAATTCTGGGCCCGCATCACCTGCAAAGGAAATTGATATGTGAGCAGTAAAGCACACAGCCGTCCTGAAACAAAAATGGGAGTGCTGATGTTACCAAGTTTTTGAAATCTTTTTTTTTCCCCCTTTTCTCCCTTTTCCCATGAGACGGCAGCACCAAGCCTTTCCGTGGGAAGCGTTTGCGGTTTTGTTTCCCTTTATTTCATGGACCCAAGCAAGTGTAAAGGCTGGAATGTGGCACAGCATGGAGATTCT